CACAGGCTGCTTCTTTGGGCTCTCCTCCTTCCACGTCGTCACCTCTCCACAAAGGTCATGACGTCCTCGGAGATCCATCGGATGGTCTCGCTGTCTACTGCTGACACCTGCAAACCCCTGAGGGATGCCACAAGGAGGAGGGGGAGAAGCGAGAGGGAGGAAGGGAGGGAGGAAGGAGGAAGTAGAGGGGAGAAGAAGAGGAGTTGGAAGGGAGGAGAGAAAGGAGGGAGGAGGGAGGAGGGAGGAGGGAGGAGGGAGGAGGGAGGAGGAATGGGCAGGATGAACGGATCTTGGCGGAGATTGTGACCTCTGCATTTCTTTTTGCCCACTGGATGGCTGACTTTGAGCCGTCGAGGTGAACAACACTCAATGAGGAGGAGGAGGAGGAGGGAAGCGATTTTGCAGCTGCAAGCGTAGATCCTCCTGTATACGCGAAGCCGTTGAGCACGCGGAGTAGACCATCCTATTTAGAACAGGAGAATGAGAAGGAGTTGCTGCTGCTGCTGCTGCAGTGGGAGGAAGGGGAGAGAGGAAAAAGGATTCGTGGAGGCCATGGAGCAAGAGATGTGAAGGCACGAGGAGGATAGAGAAGAAGCAACTTTAGCAGAACTCTCCCTTCTATAAACATCTCCCTCACCTCATCGTGTGACCCCCTTCTCCTCATCGTCTCCCTGATCCACTTCCAGTTGCTCTTTTGCTCAGGAAAGATCCCGATCTGCGCGAGGAGGGGAGGGGAGGAGGAAGAGAGGAGGAAGAAGAGAAGAGAGGAGAGGAGAGGGAAGAGGGGAGGGGAAGGGAGAAAGGGGGGGGAGGGAGGAAAGGGGGAGGAAAGGAAGGGAGGGCGAGAGAGGGAAAGGTCAGTCAGCTTCCTCTCTCCCAACAAGTCAAGATCTACCTGGCCCTGATCGGAAGGAGCGAGAGAAAACCTGATGTCAACCTCCTCGAAAGAGATGGACCAGTCCGCAGGAACCTGCTCCATCCCTTCCCACGATCCTCGTTTGCTCGCGTCTGCTGCCTTCTTCAGCTCCTCCTTCAGCTCCCCTCCTTGCCCCTCCTCCCCCCTCCTCTTCCTCCTGCTCTTCTCTCCCCCCCTCTCCTCCCCTCCTCCGTTCTCATTCTCGCTTCCCCTCCTCCGCTCCCCCGTCTCCCCTCCGCTCCCCTCTCCTTCTCTCCCCTCCCTGCAATCTTCGTCGTCCTCCTACCTGCACTCCTGGTCGAAAACTCAAGGTCGATGCTCTTCCACAAGTCTCCCTTGCGAGGCTGCCAGATGGCAGAAGGACAAGGACGGCAGACTGTCAACTCGCCGAACTTCTCCAACCTCTTCAGGTCGCCGCAATCTATGAGCGAGTAGTCGCCGCATGCAGCAACCTCCCGTCCCTGCCCTCGGGCGACCTGCTCCCGCCTGCAGGAGCATGTGATGTCTGGTGGGGGAGAGGACAGAGGGCAGGACGAAGGAGGACGCCGATGGTGCGAGGGACAAGAAGAGGTAATCGAGCAATGTCATCCTGAACTGGCTGCCTCCCCTGTACCCCCTCATGCTGAGATATGGGGAGCGTGTAGGACTGGGTTGCCCGATGCTGTTCAAGGACGCGGTGAAGCTCTGAGGAGCCTCGTGGAGCCTCCGGATGTGGAGCTGTGCAGCCTGACTCATTTGTCACTTCCTGCCTCCCTCCAAGCGCGAGTTGCCCGCAGTCATCGTTCCCTTCCTTCCACATGGACCTACAGTTGCTGTTCAACTTGAATTGTTCCTTGTTGATCTGCTGCTTTTGTTGTCTGATAGACATAACTTCCCTGCCCCAGTCTCCCTCTCCTAAGATCACTAACCGATCACAGTGAAAATCCCTTCATTCCTTCCTGTCTCTTTCCCCTTCTACTTCTCCACTCTTGCTGGCTGTTGCTGATACGTTCCATCGCTCTCCTTCCTTCCGATCTCTTCCTCCTCCTTGCCCTCCTCTTCCGCCTCCCCCTCCCCCCCTCCTCGAATCTTTGGATAGTAGTCCTCTCGCTTCATTGCGTCTGCTCCAATAAATCGCTGTCTTGGGCCAGCTAGCAATTACGGACCAGACTCTCCGGCCGGGCCCGGGCCCCGCCGGGCTGGGCCCGGGGCCCGGCCGCCCGGCCCGGCGCGGCGGCCTCCGTCCGGCGAGGCTCGTTCGGACTCGGAGCCTGGCCCGGGCTCAGTGGGACCGGGGGGGGCACACTTGCACTGCCGCCGGCTGAACGACCGTCCGATCCTGGCAGTAGCCAGCCTGGCAGATCGGACGCTGCCGGTACAAGAATCCACGGGCGGTGACCGGTGGGCTTACCGTCACCCGGCCTTGCCAGTTGTACGGTACTGGGTGACCGTGGCACGCCGGTGAGGGGCTGGCCACACTGACACGGTGGGCCGCCCAGACTAACCGTTGAACGGTTACGGTACGCCGTACGCCGGGTCATCATTTCAAACTGTTGACGGAGTATAGTACACGGACCCAGGAGCCTAGAATACTTCAAGCTCAGCTTGCAACTGTTTTTATTTGACCCCCTTCTTGTTCGAGGTCACGGCAACATCGTCCGGGAGACCTGCAGGCTCTGGAGGTTCGACCTGTGGAAGAACATCGGATGAGAATGCAGTTATGTTGGCAAGACTGAGATCGAGCAGATGTCTCAGGGGAGCAGAGATCATCAAAAAGGTGCAGAGATGTCAGCACCACCACCAGGAAGAGGAGGAGGCACTACAAACTGTCATCGAGACATGCAATGAACTTCACAAGACCCATCAATCATGTCATCAAGTTTCAGCAGCGAGATGAATCAAGGATAAACGACAGTTCATCTTTCACACAGGGGAGTGATCGGGTAACCGGAGAGGTCAGGACCGAAGGAAAGAATCGCATCATGTACACATATCAGTATCACAATGCGGTGGAAACATCAGCACACTGATCACTCGGAAACCAGCAGGAAGTACGAGCACGAGGGCGGCGACTGGATCTCACCGGGGGGGTGTGCGCGTAGAAGTGGTCAGCATACTGATGGCGCATCCAACGCTGGACGTGGGTGAGGTAGCGGATGCGAGGCTCAGCGTTCCTCTTCCAGTTCTGCAGACGCATGACCTGCAGGACCGAATGTCGAACGTCAGCTTCACGTGCAACAAGAGCTGATCAGGGAGGAGGAATCGCAGGCTCACTGACCGTGGCCTTAAGTCCCGCTATCTCTGCTGTATCCTCAGATACCTCCCTCGTTAGAGCCGTCATCACGTCTGTCCAGTCGGGAGTGATGGCTGCATCTTGGCGGTCATCTGACAGCACAAGTTTGACACTCCGCCGATGAGAGCTAACCTGGTTGAGTCGACATGCTCGGGACGTTGGCTAGAGTGCCAGGGGCGCACTGCTGAGAGCAGTAGCACCCGATGACTTGGCAGCAACCGCAAACAGTTGTCGTGGTGGTTGTGTACTGCAATCAAGCCGCTCCGACTCAGATGGATGGTGTGTGTGTGTGTTTCAAGCAGAGTAGACCTGATATTGCGGCATGACGACTTCTTTGGAAGTTTCTGAACGAAGAGCAACCAGAAGAACAGCAACGGAGAGGAGAACGGCAGCAGAAGCTGCTCCGAACAGCTTCACCCTCCGAGACCTGTCCGCATCAGACTGCAGCTCTGCGTTTGTAGGATTACACCGCAGCACCGCTTCTTCCTCGTCATGGATCAATCCATCTGTCAAGACAACATGGCGTCAGCATAGTATTGACCACAATGAATCAAATGAGTGTATCGCAACATCGTCCATCCGCGACATCGTCCATCCGGAAGCAGAACGGTACTAACTACCCGGTAGTACGATCAACATGAAGCGGCATCAAGTGACGGGATCGTCCAAGGTGACAAATCCCTTCCTCTCTCCCTCTCTACGCGTCGCCGCCATCGTCGTCATCGTCCTGCCCTGAGCTGCACTTACAGGTCGCCATGACGAAGGTTCAATGAAGAGCCGCCGCCTTGACCTGTTGATCTTCAGTGAGTCAGAGGGGGGATGAGGGCTTTCATTGCAAGCCTGCCTCATTGAGGACAGTAAATGCTTTTCTGAAGATGTGGGTGCGCAGATACGAGTTGTCCAGGGCAGCAAGGTGGCTGCATCTCGCGACATCTCCGCATCTACTAATATTTTAAAATGTTATTTTTGGATCACCGTAAGGCCCTTCACATCCAAAATTACTTCATTTGAGACGCTTTCTTTATTAATCTGGAAAATTGCCCAACAACAATGTTTTTGTACCACCCCTACCCACATGGAGCCGAATTTCGCCTTGGCCTCCTTTTCTCCCGCCAATTTCATAAGCTGCAGACAATGCTCCAGAGATGGTGCTATGCTCCCATAGTGCGATGTCGAAGATTGATAGTACCCCCACCCCCTGAAATCGTAACGCAATGATATTTGCAGAGGGCAACCCCTACCACCTCGCTCACCGGAGTCTCTGGGGGACATGAGCCGTACGGGTACTGACCACTTCATCCCACCCCACCCTTCAAATTTCGATGTACCCCACCCCCTGATTTCAATGACCTAAAATACCACCGGTAACAATTTCACAATTAGAACAGGTGGGGGTAGTTTGCGTGGGTAGGTTTTCAGCATTCTGTGAAAAGGAGGCTGCCACGTTGATACTACCCCTTCCATAAAGGACCCTTCCCGTGTGATGAAATGATGGCTTCTTCATTGATTCTCTAAGGTATGAGTTTCTTCAATTGGCACCTCAATACAAAGAATGATATAGTCCTACTTACACTTCGGAAACCACTACCCCACCATCACATTGCCATAACCACCTACCTTACAATTGCTTTATATACCCACCACCTTTGTCGACCCACCCACCCATGCTTCAGTAGCCAACCTGTCTCCTCCTACCCCCACCCCCACACAGAGCACTTTCCCCTCATTGTCATTCCCCCACCACCCCTCTCGATGTAAGGAATCTGGTGCATGCGCCCCCTCTTCCGACCCTACCCACCCCACCCTAGCATTCCTCCTCAACCCCTTTCGAATGCAGATTTTAAGGACCCCACCTGTGTAAACTTTCACAATCTCTCTTAGTACCCGTACATTCTAGACCAAAGATGTGGCTGAGAAACCGGTGCCAGAGTTATGTATGATTATCCACCCTGTTCTTTAGTACCCCACCCCGATATTCATAGGGGTTTCATGACCGATGTATAATACCCACCCCATGTGTTGAAACACAACCTGCACTGCAAAAAATGGCTCGAGGCAATGTTGAACTATGCAGAACGTTGGATGTTGCCATTTGCAATGGCAGCAGAACCATGCATCTCGCCTGACTGTATATGTCTTCGATTCTTGCAACTATTTCTTGTCCATTATGTACAGTTTGAAGTGTTCACAATGTAGCAGGAGGATCCTTGTTGGGTTAGAGGACTGAGTGTATTTGGATTTTCTTCAGAACCATCATTTGGGGGCAGTTCATGAGCTTAGAATAAGATAAGTACATTCAAGACATAGATTGAAAGTTCATGGTATGCCTCCCAGTACTTGTTCTATCCTAAATTTTGTAGTTTTTCTTCTCGTTAGCACGTTACGGCTCTTGATTGGTTTTACGCCTCTGCCATTCCTGACTGTAAGAGGAGCTCGATAGTTCGGCAATCCCGTTGAGATGAATTATTGAGTCATGAACTTCAATCTGGCATACCACTGATCTCTCTTCGCTTCGTTTTCAGGTTCTCTTTACCATGGCCGCCAAAATCACCTCTGCAGTAGCACTGCTCGTGGCAGCCTCCCTCTTCCTGGGCGCCCATGCATATCACTCAGTCAGTCTGAACTACTTCGCTCCCTCTGTTAGACCAGTGTTTTCCTTGCGTGCTGGTCAGCGAGGAAGGGTTGGGCCTCGAATGGTGGCCTCGCCGAAGCCCGACCTGTCTGCGTGGTTCGCGCCTGGACAAAAGTATGGGCCTCAGAATCCTGGCCAGCCGGCTCCAACTCAGTTGCCTTATGACAACAACAAGCTGGACAAAAACAAAGTGGAAGCGATCAAAGTCAGTGGCGACCATTTGAAGAGTCCGCTTCAGCAGGTCAGGGTGTTTGGATTTAGGAACTCGTCGTGATCATGAAAGCAGGAAATGGCGGATTTGGAATCCATCGATATCTCTGATGAGGCTGTTGTGATTCTGAAGCATCACGGAAGCTACCAACAACAGAATCGTGACCTCCAGAAGAGTGACAAGAAGGGATATGCTGATTCCTACCAGGTTGCGACGTGCTTTGCCCCTTTGGTCCCTAACTCTTTGTCCTCCAAAAGTTCATGTTGAGGCTCAAGAATCCGTGCGGAAAAGTTGACGCCAAAACGTATCAGGTATGCCGACCTGGAGTCCGCAATTTTAAGGGACATGACGTGACTGGTTGCGCAGTGCATCGATGATCTCTCTGAAAAATATGGACAGAAGGATCTTCGTGCAACCACCCGCATGGCCTTTCAGGTTCACTGCAATTCATGCTTCTTATTTCATAGCTCGTATGCTCAAAGTCTTCCAGATCCATGGCATCAGGAAGAAGGACCTTAAGACTGTCATTGCTTCGATTGCCAATGCAGGAGGTTTCTATTGTTCCTTGGCTAGTTCGCAGTTGTGTTTATTTCATTGCAAAGGATCTACACTCGGAGGCTGTGGTGATATCAACAGAAACGTCATGACTCCTCCAGCACCGGTTTCAGATCCTGGTGTGCAGCATATAACATTTTGTCTTGTAATTCAGATTTCTGACCATGCTTTAGCGTATCAGAATGCATTCCAGACTGCCAACTACATCGCAGAACTGTGCGATATGATGTTCCTATGTGAATTTACATCTTATAGTTTGTAGGTTTAAGCCTTCCAGCCCTTCTTTTGCTGAGCTTTGGCTCGATGGTGAAAAAGCGGCGGAAGTTGAGTAAGCTTCTTTTTTATGCCTTCCTTTCGTTTACCAGTCTTTGCGCAGGTATTGGAAGAAGGATCTCGTTCAGGGAAGCACTGGAACCAACCACATCCCTCCTGTTGCTAGCACAATCGGTGCGCAACTTCTTTCTATTTGCTACAAAGAATCTCACAGATTGGATACAGAGGAGCTCGACAAGAAGATGCATGACGCCAGAATGCATGACGCAGTAAGCAAATAATCAATTATTTTTGCTTAAAATTGAGGAGACGGCGATAGGGAACTGGAATCATCACAGGAGATGAATTGGAACCTCTGTATGGCAGGTATGGAAAGATCGACGGTCGAAATGAATATCTTAGTGTTAAACCAGGACATATTTGCCGAGGAAGTTCAAAGTTGCTGTGACGGTGCCGGGGGATAATTCCATCGATGCTTACACTCACGACGTCTGTCTCGTTGTTATCATGGATGAGTCCGGCAAGAATTTGAAGGGCTACAACATTATGGTTGGTGGTGGAATGGGTCGTACACATAACAAGGAGACCACCTTCGCCAGAACAGCAGACCATCTTGGTTACATTGCTAAGGAAGATCTCACTGAGTGCATGAAGTCGATCTTGGCGGCGCAGAGAGACCATGGAAACAGAGAGATTCGTGCAAACGCAAGGCTCAAATACCTTGTTCATACCCTCGGTGTTGACAACTTCCGCAAGTTGGTTGAGTCATACTTTGGCAAGAAGATTCAACCATGGGTCCCGCTTCCAGAATGGCAGATGGTCGATTGGCTTGGATGGCATCCTCAGGGCGATGGCAAGTGGTTCTTGGGCGTGAATGTTGAACAGGGCCGTATCAAGAATGAGGGAAGCTTCAAGCTCAAGACTGCTCTTCGCAAGATTGTTGACACCTACGGGTGTGACATCCGATTGACCCCTCATCAGAACATCGAGATTTGTGGAATTGAGGAGAAGGAAAAAGCCAAGATTGATGCTATTCTCAAGGAGCATGGAGTCAAATCCATTCAGGAGATTGACGACATGACTCGTAAGGGCATTGCGTGCCCTGCATTTCCCCTTTGCGGACTTGCTCAATCGGAAGCCGAGAGAGTGATGCCTCAGTACATCAATAGGATCAACAACCTCATGGAGAAGATGGGACTGCCTGGAGAGTCCTTTGTCATGCGCATGACTGGATGTCCCAACGGTTGCGCTCGCCCTTACATGGCAGAAATGGCTTTCGTTGGAATGGGAGGAGATTCCTACCAGATTTGGTTGGGCGGATCGCCAAACCAGGATGGCCGCACTGCATGGAGATGGAAGGACAGAGTCAAGAATGAAGATGTTGAGGGCACCATCGAACCACTTCTGTACATGTGGAAGAGTCAGCGCAACGGACAGGTTAACAAACACAAAATTGAACATTGTTGAGCTGACAAGGTGTTCAGGCCGAAAGGTTCGGTGACTTCATCCATCGCTTGGGACAAGAGGCTGTCGACAAGTATGTTGAGTCTTACGAGTCGGGCACTGCTTTTAAGAACGTGGTGGTGGAAAAGCCCCCATTGAAGAAGGTATTTGGCAATTCCTTCAGACTTCTTCGTTTATTCATGTTGTTTCAGGCTTAAACCAGTGGCTCCGGCAGGCTACTGAGGGATGCCTCTGCAAGTTTTCACGAAACGCTCTCAGTACAGAGTCAAGCCATTGTTGCTTATTTCCTTGGGAACCGGCAGGATTTTTATGGTGCAGGAAGTAAAATTGCCACCGTGTCCGATAGTCCGCCCTGTTCAACTCCTGCCACGGCAAGTCAGCGGCGGCTCGGCCCGGGGGCGGCCTGTCCGAACTTCGGCGAATCGGACGCCGAGTTTCGTCGGCGGCCCGGCCGGGCGGCCCGCCGCTGAGCCTGACCGTCACTGGCACTCCGCCGTGTGACTGCCGCAGTCACGCGGCGGTCAACTTCTCATTGCCCCAAGGACCTCATCCGAGATATGATGAAGCTGTCCAGAACTCATCCGTTCGGCGGGCAGGCACCACGCTACTGATCCGATCGGTGCAGGGCCCGGTTATGGACGCCGGCTGTCCGCCGGGGCCTGCCGGCCCAACTTTGATTTTGCTAGTCCAATATTCCCTCATCTCCTCTCTGACCGCTTGGACCCACCCCTTCGATTTATCAAATCGAACCCCACCCTAGCTGTTGTCTTCCGATACCCCACCATCTCGTAGAACTCCATAGTACCCCTACCCCCTAGAAACCTGAAAGGATTTCCTCCGTCACAAAAACCCACCTCACTACCCCCAATTTCTACTTCAATCACCCACCTGTGGACCCAGTACCCACCCATGGAAAAGAGGTGGTCTCTTTAGGGTACGGTACTCCCCAAAAAAAGAGTAAAGGGGGGTAGTATTGGAGTGAATCAGGGGGGTACATAAAAATGTGGTGGGACAGGATCGGATGGAAACCCACGATTGAAAGGGTGGGGTACATTGACTACCGGTACAATTCTACAAATTTATCTCAGTAAAACAAGGGTCATAGGTACACTAGTACCCCCCAGTATCCCCAAATGAGAAGTCTGGAGGCATCAGCGGGTGGTGGTGTGAAATATTCAAGGGAGGGGTGGTCTCCATATGTGCGAGAGGAGGGATAGAGGGGGTGAGGGTGGGGTTCTCGTGGAGAAAAGGGGGTGCAAGTGAGGGGGTGGTGGTGTTACGGGTTTCCAGGGGTATATAAAGAGGAGGAGGCAGGAGAATCGGCAGTCTTCGCCATGTTCAGAGCTCTCCTCGTTGCGGCATGCGCGGCCTCCGCCGCTGCCTTCGCTCCCTCCGCCGTCCTCCCCCGCGCTGGAGCCCGTGGTAAGTGTAGCAGATTGATCCCTGTTCCTTGTTGTTGTTGTTCCACCCTCTCTTCAGTTCGGAGAGAAGAGGATCCCATGAAATCGCTGAAGAGATGCTGACTGGTTTCCTTGTACAGTTGCTGCCTCCAAGGGACCCTCCATGCAGCTCTGGGGTGACGGAACCGCTCAGGGCCTCTCCATCAACGCTGTTCCCTTCCTTCAGCGCCCTCCTGCTCTTGACGGAACCCTCGCTGGAGACGTTGGCTTTGACCCGGTTGGATTCTCCAACTACATCGACATCAGGTGGTTGAGGGAGGCTGAGCTCAAGCACGGACGTGTCTGCATGCTCGGCGTCACTGGCCTCATCGCCCAGGAGTTTGTCAACCTCCCCATGTTCCAGAACGGCAAGACCCCCGTTGATGACTTCTTCGTCGTCCCCGCTGCCGGTCTCTGGCAGGTGTTCTTCACCATCGGAGCCATCGAGTTCTTCACCAACGGCTTCAAGCTTACCCCCGGAGACATGTTCTCTGAGGGCCGTGAGGCTGGTGACCTTGGATTTGATCCCCTCGGCTGCGGCAAGAACCCTGAGGCCCTCGCCCGCCGCCGCCTCGTCGAGGTCAAGAACGGCCGCCTTGCCATGATCGCCTTCGGAGGCATGATCCACCAGCAGCTCCTCACCAAGCAGGGAACCATCGAGCAGCTCCTCAACTTCAAGGCTATCCAGTAATTTAGAAATATAGTTTGAAAAAATATAAAATCCACAAACATGCAATGAATGATGTACTTGAATCTCACATGGTTCTCAAGTTGTCTCTCATCAAATGCATAAACATTGCTATTTTCTTTCACATACATAGAGATCAGTTGTGGTTGTCACTCTCAGTGCAGAGGTTCTCTGTATCTGGCAGCTGGTCTGTGCTCGTCATAATGTTGTCTAGTCCAGCGGCTGGGAGGGCGATCGTGACGAACCTCCGGCATGTGATGAACCCCATGACGCACGTGCTGCATGTTGTGCCCAGCTCCAGCTCCCGCTCCCGGGGGCTGATGTGTGGGCATGTCAGGCATGGGTCTGAACCGATCTGGATCTTCATGCATGAAAGCTGGGGGAGGAAGACGATATCCCCTCCTTATCATGGCTTGATGCAGAAACGGAGCGGATGCCTCGGGCATCTTCACTCCATTCTGGCCAGCTCCGGCTCCCCTTGCCATGTACTTGCGGAGGATGTTGGAGTCAGGCTCGTTGAGCATCATGCCGGAGGAGTTGATCCTCGATGAGTCCCACGCCATTTCCTTGTCGCACGCTCGACCTTCGCCTGCCTCTGCAAAGAAGGCCTTGGAGGTGGAAGAGATGGACGCGCATTCCTCCTGCCACTTGTCGCCAAGAATCTTCTCGCCATAGCCGTACAAGCAGATCCACCTTCTAGCCTTGACCTTGACCAGCTCTAGCAGTGCAGGAGGGAAGTACTCGATGGAGCTCCGCTTCTTCCTTGGGGTGTAGACTGAAGCTCTCTCCTTAATCGCGCACTCTCCCCGCTTCTTGTACACCTCGCAGCCCTTCCTCCCAGTGAAGGAGAAGATCTGCTCCACTACATCCATGGAGGCAGGCCCAGCGAGGTCCTCGTACCGCACGATGAGGACTGGCAGGTCGACTGCCATCCAGTAGTCGTGAAAGCCTGACCACATCTCAACCTCGTGCTCCACGAAATTCTCCCAGAGGTCGCTGAAGGTCTGGAAAGTCTCGTCGGGCAGGGTGTAGTTGTGGACGTTGGTAGCCATCATGTTGAACCAGGAGACCAAGACGTCCAGCGGGTTGCGGACGATGACGACTGCGCGGCTGATGTGGATCGGAGGGCCTGGCTTGTTGGGCCAGTGCGTCTTGATGAACCAAACGCTGTCGTCTACCCTTCCCTCCCCCATCACGTTGTAAGCCATGGCCAGTGACATGTCCACGAAGTCACTCCCTGACCTGATCCCGGAGAACTCCTCCAGCAGGCCCCTTGTCATCGAGTTCCCCGAGCGGGGGAAGCTCGCTAGCGCGACCTTTCCCCCCAGCTCGTTCACCTCTCCCTCCTGCAAAAAGCGCTTCTCTTCTCCCCGACTAGCACACTTCCCCTCCTCTCCTTCTCCAGCAGTAGGAGGCTCCTGGGGATGTTGGGGATGTTGTCCGTGCCTTGTCGCAGCTAGCTCTTCATCACGGTGACGAGCAGGTTCGACGGGTGCAACATGCTCCCTCGACCCTCCTGCTGCATCCTCAGGTTGCTGGGATGGACGCCCGGCGTCATGGGAAGATGGAGACGTCGGGCGCTGGTTCTTGAGATGGTCAGCCGTCCACCGATCATGATGAGACGCTCCTTGCTCTTCATGCCTCGCTCGGGCCTCATCGACGTTCCGTCCCATCAGGGTTCGACTCTGCTGCGAGATCCCTGCATCCCTTCCTCCCAGTTCGCCATGATCGGCCCCTTGAACCTTGTTCGCTTCCCCGCTCGCCTGTCTGTTTGTGGACGTGCTTTCGGCACTAGCAAAGATCCCCCAGCGCACAGGAGCTGCATCCTTGCCGGAGGGACTGACGTACATGAAGTATGCAGTCCCTAGGAAGGAGCATGCAACGCCCAGCACTAGAACCGCCTTAGAAAGACTTCTGCAGCTCCTACCTCCGCTCGTTGTTCGATGCATCTTGGTTAGTTTATCCCTTCTTGAAGTTCCTTTCCACCTCTCATCGCAGCGTCTCTGCAAATTTCGAGATTGCACTCTCAACCTCCATCCTCGTTCACTGAGCAAAAACAAGAGTTCAGACACAATGAGTGTGAGTAGATAGAAACAAAGTGATCTTAGCTACGTGACCCAGTCATATAACTCGCCATCCATCTGCACCATGCCCTTCCACCCTCCCTTCTTCGAACACCGCAACCTCCCTCCCTCCCTCCCTCCCTCCCTCCCTCCCTCACTCACTCACTCAATCCCTCACTCAATCCCTCACTCATTACCTACTTCCTCCCTTCCTTCTTGTCCTCTCCTTCACCCACAAACATTCAATCCTCTCTCTCCCTCCCTTGCTCTCTCCCTTCAGCCATTCCTTCCCCAGTGGCTGCTCCCACCCCTTCCCCTCCCTACAACCCGTCGATTCTCTCGATCAGCTAGCAGCCATTTCCTACATGCGTCCAAGAAGTCACGGTGATGTGACTCATGCCTCAAGTACCCGTCCAGGACCACAAAACCCTTCTTGTAGTCCTGCCAATCTTCCAGCATTCTGTTGATCCCTTCCCGTGAGGAGCCCTTTGGAATGCTGCACCATCTCCTCTTACCGCCGACGATTTGGATGCAATCAGCGTCGTCGGATGCTTGCAGCCTGATGAGCGTTACGCTCCATTCCCTCATGTCAAGAGACAAGCAGAAGGCTAGCGTCGTCATCGTCTTCCCCGTTCCCGGCGGGCCTTGGATCCAGCCCAAAGCCTGCTTCTCTACCACCCTCTCCCTCAAGAAACAATGCAGGTGCGTGAAAGCTTCCCGGCAGTAGAGAAGGAGCTCTCCGTCTCTTTGTAGGTAGGATGCATCGAGACGAAAGTACTTGTTGTCGTTGCAAAAGCCCATCCAATCCAGTCTTGCATCTGACTCGTTCCAAGCAATCGGTGGCACATGGGATCCGGTGCTCTGTCTCAAAAGGATAAGTTTTTCTTCTCCAAGCTGCTTCTGACGTTCTCCAAGCTGCTTCTGACGTTCTCCAAGCTGCTCGAGTCTCTTGTAAAGGGCGGCCTTCATCGTGGGATCCTGTTCATGTTTGATCTGAAGCAGTACAGCCTGGATGTTTCGTTCCACAACCCTCATCTTTTCTTCTACCTCCTTGATAGCTCTTCCTACAGGCTTGACCTCTCCTCCTACTTTAGTCTCGGCAGACTGGTTACTCACATTCATTCCAGAGTAGCACACCCGCTGCCTCTTGCTCGCCTCCCTAGCATCCCCTCCTCGTATGCGCAAGTGGCATCCGCCCCAAGCCATCCTCAGATTGTAGTCAACACAACGCCCAGGACATGGACATGACGCTCCCTGTTACAAGCACATCTCAGAAAAACCTTCCCTCCAACCCTCAGGTCGCTCCTCACCACCGCGCTCGAGATGATGATGGAGCTCAAGCATGTCAAGCCACCAGCCCTGCCCATAGCCCTCGCCCCTCTCCCCCGTGCTTCTCTCTGCGGGCTGCGCATCTTGACCTCAGCAAGCGGGTCCTTGTCCGCCTTGCCGACCTGCTCTGCCGCGCCCAGCACAAAGGGATATACGGTACTCGCTAGGGGGTCGTCAGAGGGGGTACTGAGAACACCCAAGGGAATGGCGCGCCGCGAGGGTCGATGGAGGTTGTGGACTTGGAGCTGGGTAGCAACATGTATGTTACAAGGAGATGAGAGACGAATGTCCGCATGATCAGAACGTGTAACAAGACAGCTTACAGATCCTTACCAGTCGAGCTAGGCCACCTTGCAAGCTGATGAGCTTGATACTTTTACTGTTCACGTCCCTCATGCGTCATCGTTGATGACTTTCATCGCTGACAAGATCATGGCATGTGCATGAGCCGCTTGTTGCTGGACTTCAGACATGGTGGGTTGTGATGGCGACGGGGTGCAGCCAACATTCATAAGTCGCTCTCAGTTCTGATATGATGCAAGGAGGAGACCCATGTAACCTGTAAGCTACATGATCTCACTGTGCACTGTTTAGCCCCGCATCTGATCTTGAGGGGCAGATGAAGACAGATTGTTGCAGTGTTCGATGATGACATGCAACGTTGTGGTCGTCAATCTTCCCCTCCTGTAGTTGCTCACGCCATCTCAAGGAACACTGTGCCAGGATGCACCAGACACCATGAGAATGCAGCAAATCCGATGCAGCGGTTTTCAAGATGATGGACTAGTTGTGAAGATGATGGACTGGTTTTGAAGATGATGGACTGGTTTTGAAGATGATGGACTGGTTTTGAAGATGATGGACTGGTTTTGAAGATGATGGACTGGTGTTGAAGATGATGGACTGGTGTTGAAGATGATGGACTGGTTTTGAAGATGATGGACTGGTTTTGAAGATGATGGACTGGTTTTGAAGATGATGGACTGGTGTTGAAGATGATGGACTGGTGTTGAAGATGATGGACTGGTTTTGAAGATGATGGACTGGTGTTGAAGATGATGGACTGGTGTTGAAGATGATGGACTGGTTTTGAAGATGATGGACTGGTTTTGAAGATGATGGACTGGTTTTGAAGATGATGGACTGGTTTTGAAGATGATGGACTGGTTTTGAAGCTGCTACATCTCCTTCAAAATTATGGGCAAGCAACCGAGTAACAGGTTGCTTCAGGTTGCTGCCAAGTATTTGAAACTGAGCCCTCACACACACAATCCCCTTTTCTGAGGAATGAGACAGGTAAATAGTTCTAGGCAACCTTTTTGCACACAGCAGAAAGCTTCAAGAAAAACATGTTCTCTTCATTACTTCTCCTTGTTTGTACAAGGAGATCAGGTGAAATTGCATCATGATGACTTCCAGTTGCACATGGAGATGGAAAGACTTCGAAATCAAGTAAGAGGAACCATCAGCAAAAGCACAAGTGCTTGTATTGCACCTCCATGGTGACACTTTTGATCAAGTACAACATGAAAGTGATCAAGTAAGTTGTCTTTCAACCTCTACACACTACATCTGCCTGTCGATCTCATCTTGCAGATATCAGGCTGATCATCTTCCCAGCCCCTTTGCGACCAGCCGCCGCTTCTTGTCGGATCTTTGCCTCGCCTGCTACACGCCTCCGATATCAATACTCGCTATCTCTGCCTTCCTCCCTTCGTGCCCTCGCTTCCATCCGTACTCCTCCAGCGCACCGCAGCCCGTGATTTTGCCTATCCGAAAGTCCTCGAGCCTTTCTGGCAGCACCATGAACACCACCCTCACCTCCCATCCAGCTGCTGGGATGCCTAGCCCCGTGAGAGCCTTTGCGAAGAAAGCCAGCTTGAAAGAGTGGACGTCTGCCTCTGTCACCTGCACAAACTCTACTTGCTTCCGACGAGGCTCTACTATGATAGCGTCGTAGCCTCCTTGAAGGGGGTTGACGGGCTTCAAGCAAGCTCTCTCTGCAGGAAGCGTTCGCATGCCTCCCTTTGCATCAAAGGTTATGACTGGACATCCCTCCCATTGCGTGAGCTCTTGTGATCCCCGATACCTAAGGCTCAGCCCGTACTGCACCTTCTTGAAAAAGAAAAGCTCGAAAAGCAAGCCCCTTGTAGTCGGATTGCGTACCCCGTACTTTGAGAACAGCCTCGTCAACGTGTCTAGTTCTACCGCTTCTGCAAGCTTCGTCGCGACATACTTGCTGACAGGCATCCAGTTCGATTCCCCGTTGTACTCGAAGCACGCAATCAAGTGGTTTACAGTCTGCGGTGATGAGTCGCCCATGTTGCCACTGAAGATGATTTCTAGGTTTGAACACAACCTCAAAGCCGTATCCAGCCTCGGTTTCACCAATGATGCGGGCGTCTCGAACATGTACCGACATGAGCCGCCAGCCAGGTAGTATTTCAGCTTGATCTTCTCTCGTCTAGACCTGTTCCTCTTCCATGTCTTCAAGCCAATGCTCCCCGCACTTTCATCCTCCTCCAGCATGCATGCTACACGCTGATAGAAAACGTCCCATTCCACTGCTTCCAGGTACTCACTCTCCGTCCAAGATACAACGGTGTGTTGTTGGAGATTCACCCGATTGTCAGCTTCATCGTTTATCTTTCCTCGAGGAGACATCGATGTCGCTACTACAACCCGTCGATTCTCTCGATCAGCTAGCAGCCATTTCCTACATGCGTCCAAGAAGTCACGGTGATGTGACTCATGCCTCAAGTACCCGTCCAGGACCACAAAACCCTTCTTGTAGTCCTGCCAATCTTCCAGCATTCTGTTGATCCCTTCCCGTGAGGAGCCCTTTGGAATGCTGCACCATCGCCTCTTACCGCCGACGATTGTGCCGAGCCATAAAAACTGATTTGAAGTTAACAAAAAAGTGACCAGCTCATGGCAGGTTAAGTTAAAAATCAGTACGAGGATAAGATCCTACAAGCACCATGATGAAAGTGCGAAGATGAAGAGGATGAGAAGAAGAGCATCTAGGAGGTTCTTCTGCTTCACCTGCTCTGCTCTCCTCCTCCTGTCGATACCTGCTGCTGCCTCTCCGTCGCACCTTGCCGATGAGCTCAGATGTGAGGTGACAGGTAAGGAGGAGGCAAGGCCATGGGCCGTGCCAGGAGGCAGGGAGGAGCAGGAGGAGCAGGAGGAGCAGGAGGAGGGTGCGCTGTTCTTCTGGGATGTGCATGACGGGCATGCGGTCCATCCTTGGAGGTTTCACTTGTCGCATGCCTGGCTGAGGGCGAACAGAGGAGCCTGTCTTATCTTCACTGTAAACCTGATCCTTGACGACGCCATGTCTGCGGTCTACAGGTCCAACACCTGCGCAGACAACAACATGTCGGCTCCCTTCCTACTCGAGGTTGGCTGCGGGAACTACTCGGGGGTCCTCGAGATGCGAGTGGAGAGCACGGGGGAGCTGCTGCTGCGCTCAGACGTCTACCAGGTCCTCGTGCTTGACGGCTCCTGTAGGCCATGCAGCCCCGTACTCCGCATCCAGCAAGGGTCTCTGGCGCCGTTTGTGTACACGGGGACGGAGGACAGCCTGCTGTCGCTGGAGGTGTCATGGCCGTACGGAGGCAACTGCACGAGCTGGGACGAGAGGGCGAGAGGCTACGTGGTGAGGGTGTACGTTGAGGGAGAGGAGGTGGGTTCAGCGGCGCTACGGCGAGACGAGGTGTTGAAAAAGGCGTGTGTGTCAGTGACGATGCCGGGAGAGCTGGAGGGAGGTCAGGAGGTGACGGTGGAGCTGGAGGATGCGAGCTCGGCGGTGCTGGCGAGGACAGAGGAGACGGTGATCTTCCATCGGAGCGAGGTGAGGAGGGAGCAGGGAGGATGCGGGGAGAGCGAGCGTGTGCTGTCTATCTCGTTCTTTGACGGGCGTGTGGGGAACGCGTTTGTTACGCTGGCGATCGCTCATGATGTGGCGCTCAAGTACAACGCGACGTCGATCCGCCTGCCGGAGCATCGGAGGTACACTCGCGACTATGACTGTAGACTTCTGCGAGAGAACCAGATGGTGACGATGCTGGAGGCGCTGGGAGGATGCATACGTGTGGAGGGGCAGGGGGGTGGGAGCGGGGGAGGGGAGGGGTGGGTGAGAGACTGCACGAGCCTCGTAGACTGTCATGCTCACCGCAACGGGCTGGACCAGGCGATTGAGCTGGACCGAGGAGCGACGTTGCGGTTCTTCCGGAGGGAGGTGTCGAGGGTCCTGATCCACTTCGACACTTCAGCGAGAGGAGACGATCTTTGCGTCCACCTGAGGTCAGGCGACGTGCTCGAGCGAGTATCAATGTCTCATCACATCGGGAAGGGGCAGTGGCAGCCGCCGCTGGCGTTCTACGTCGCAGCCATCGCGGTGCACCGGAAGCTGTATCCTCAGTCCCGGGTCGTGCTGGTGTCGCAGCCGTCGTCAGAGCTTCTCAACCCGAGCATCAGGGTGATCCAGGAGCTGTTTGCGAGGGTAGAGCTTCAGACGAGGTCGGCCATGCAGGACCTGTACGAGCTGGTGCAGGCGAGGCACCTGGTGCTGTCTCGCTCGACGTTCTCATGGACTGCAACCTTCTTCTCTGAGTCCCTCCGGAGCCTGGTGTCTCCCCAGCTGGTGCTGGCCCGGTGGGCTGAGGCCCCTTATGACCTGGTGGAGTACAGCTTCCCGGGGTACCAGGCCTTGCTGGAGAAGTACGCGGGGTCTGGGAACTGGAGGAGGACGCCGGAGGTGCCCGTGCACGGGCTAGAGCCGAACGTGAAGGAGCAGATGATGGTGTATGCTCCTCAGAGGCTGCAGTGCGAGGAGGTAGTGCGGGTGGAGGGAGCGACTCGATGCCTGGAGGAGGGGGAGGCAGAGGAGATCGTGGAGGCACTAGGGATGTGAGAGGGAGGACGACATGTTTGTTGATTGGTCAAATCGAATGTATGTTGTTATGAAATCTATCAAGATACCCGGATGCTTACTGAGACACTATCTCCTCTCAGTCTTGAACCAGCGTTCATCCTGGAGAGATTGAAGATCTCTCGAACATGCTTCGAAGAGCTTTGTCTTGGACCCTTTCAGACTCCCTCTCACATCCCTAGTGCCTCCACGATCTCCTCTGCCTCCCCCTCCTCCAGGCATCGAGTCGCTCCCTCCACCCGCACTACCTCCTCGCACCGCAGCCTCTGAGGAGCATACACCATCATCTGCTCCTTCATGTTCGGCTCTAGCCCGTGCACGGGCACCTCCGGCGTCCTCCTCCAGTTCCCAGACCCCGCGTACTTCTCCAGCAAGGCCTGGTACCCCGGGAAGCTGTACTCCACCAGGTCATAAGGGGCCTCAGCCCACCGGGCCAGCACCAGCTGGGGAGACACCAGGCTCCGGAGGGACTCAGAGAAGAAGGTTGCAGTCCATGAGAACGTCGAGCGAGACAGCACCAGGTGCCTCGCCTGCACCAGCTCGTACAGGTCCTGCATGGCCGACCTCGTCTGAAGCTCTACCCTCGCAAACAGCTCCTGGATCACCTTGATGCTCGGGTTGAGAAGCTCTGACGACGGCTGCGACACCAGCACGACCCGGGACTGAGGATACAGCTTCCGGTGCACCGCGATGGCTGCGACGTAGAACGCCAGCGGCGGCTGCCACTGCCCCTTCCCGATCAGATGTGGCGAAGATGCTCGCCCAAACACGTCGCCTGACCTCAGGTGGACGCAAAGATCGTCTCCTCTCGCTGAAGTGTCGAAGTGGATCAGGACCCTCGACACCTCCCTCCGGAAGAACCGCAACGTCGCTCCTCGGTCCAGCTCAATCGCCTGGTCCAGCCCGTTGCGGTGAGCATGACAGTCTACGAGGCTCGTGCAGTCTCTCACCCACCCCTCCCCTCCCCCGCTCCCACCCCCCTGCCCCTCCACACGTATGCATCCTCCCAGCGCCTCCAGCATCGTCACCATCTGGTTCTCTTGCACGACTCCGCAGTCATAGTCGCGAGTGTACCTCCGATGCTCCGGCAGGCGGATCGACGTCGCGTTGTACTTGAGCGCCACATCATGAGCGATCGCCAGCGTAACAAACGCGTTCCCCACACGCCCGTCAAAGAACGAGATAGACAGCACACGCTCGCTCTCCCCGCATCCTCCCTGCTCCCTCCTCACCTCGCTCCGATGGAAGATCACCGTCTCCTCTGTCCTCGCCAGCACCGCCGAGCTCGCATCCTCCAGCTCCACCGTCACCTCCTGACCTCCCTCCAGCTCTCCCGGCATCGTCACTGACACACACGCCTTTTTCAACACCTCGTCTCGCCGTAGCGCCGCTGAACCCACCTCCTCTCCCTCAACGTACACCCTCACCACGTAGCCTCTCGCCCTCTCGTCCCAGCTCGTGCAGTTGCCTCCGTACGGCCATGACACCTCCAGCGACAGCAGGCTGTTCTCCGTCCCCGTGTACACAAACGGCGCCAGAGACCCTTGCTGGATGCGGAGTACGGGGCTGCATGGCCTACAGGAGCCGTCAAGCACGAGGACCTGGTAGACGTCTGAGCGCAGCAGCAGCTCCCCCGTGCTCTCCACTCGCATCTCGAGGACCCCCGAGTAGTTCCCGCAGTCAGCCGTGAAGAGGAAGGGAGCCGACATGTTGTTGTCTGCGCAGGTATCGCTCTTGTAGGCCGCAGGGATCAACTCGTCGAGGATCAGGTTTACAGTGAAGATGAGACAGGCTCCTCTGTTCGCCCTCAGCCAGGGATGCGACAAGTGAAACCTCCAAGGATGGACCGCATGCCCGTCATGTACATCCCAGAAGAACAGCGCACCCTCCTCCTGCTCCTCCTGCTCCTCCCTGCCTCCTGGCACGGCCCATGGCCTTGCCTCCTCCTGCCTTTTCCCATGGTCCTCGTGTTGAGACAGTTGGGTAGAGAGCGTCTCATCGTAGGAACCGCCACCCTCGCTGCCTCCTTCATCACCGGTCACTTGACATCTGAGCTCATCGGCAAGGTGCGTCGGGGAGGCAGCAGCAGGTATCGACAGGAGGAGGAGAGCAGAGGAGAGGAGAAGGAAGAAGCGGATTCTCCTCATCCTCGTCCTCCTCGTCCCTCCTCAGCTCAGCTGCTCTCGACTCGAATGTGGAATATGAGGAATAAAAAAACGTTCGCTCGTTTGACCCTTTTTTTTAGCCTGAAGATCTTGAATTTCTCAGTCCAGATGTCCACGGCGCTGTCAACACTTCCGACAACTGCCGCGGGCCGCCCGGGGCCCGGGGCCCGGGGCTTGCGGCACTGTGACATGCCCGGCGAGGCTGAGGCGGACAGTGACTCAGAGCTGTAACTCAGTCCGATGCCGGAGCCTCGGTAACAGTCCCGATTCACTCAGTGACTCTTGAAGGCTGGGCAGGGAGCGGCCAAGCCGGGCGGGACGGTACTAGATCATGCTGCGAGTCTCTTTATGTTCCATTCTACGGTGTACGGCGTTCCCAGTTTCATCTTGCCACGGAGGGCCCTCCGGAGGCTCAGCGGGCCACAGACACTGATGTAACGGCCCTGCCGTCGTGAAGGCCTCAGGCGACGGTCATCACTGTGGACAAGACGCTGCCACCCGCGTCTCTCCTTGCAGCTTTCAGGCTCACAAACTCATTACCAATATCACTATCACCATCACCGTCACCATCACCATCACCATCACCATCACCATCACCATCATTATCATCTCTTGATCCACATGATACCCCCGCCAGGAAGATTCCCTTGTCAGTGATTCTAGAGTCCATGGATCGAAGAATCTGAAGATAGTTGTGAGCACGACCTCCGTACATGGACAACCGCTGGGTAAGAACACAAGGAGCACAATCAAGGCAACAAGGATGTTTCACGCGGATGCATTGCAGGAGGAGTGGAGGAAAAGAATGAGGAGGGAGGGAGGGACGGGGGAAAGAGAGGGAGAAGGGGAGGAGGAGGAGAGAGGGTGCCGGAAGAGGGAGATGGTGAGGAGTGAAGGAGGGAGAAAGGGTGGGTGACAAAGGAGGAGGAAATGGGGCAGTAGCAGCAGCAGCAGAAGAGGACGAGGAGGAGGAGGAGGAGGAGGAGAAGGAGGAGAAGGAGGAGGAGGAGGAGGAGGAGGAGGAGGAGGAGGAGGAGGAGGAGGGGGAGGAGGAGGAGGAGAAGGAGAGGCAGGAGGAAGAGAGTCATCTGTATCATCATCTTCTTCATGATCACTCACCTCGGCCTCGTACTTTTCCATCATGCAGCCGCAGAAGAAAGCATGCCGCACTCCCTGGAACTCCCTGAAGTACTTGGACGCCTTCGCTGCACACCCGTCCATCAGGTGGACCTTGGAGGACGGGAGGAAGAGCGAGTCCCGTATGCAGCATGGCAGCGCCGCCCATGCTGCTGATCGACTTCTGGCAGTCTCGATGACCAGGTTGTTTACCTCGTTGCAGCCATGCACCGACAGCACCAGCGTCGTCTCCGTCACGAGCTCCAAGTGGTCTCGGAAGTCCCCCTCCAGCTTCTCTACGTTGCCCAGCGACCTCTGGCCCCTCTCGCGCATGCTCGCGTCCCATCCATCCCTGAAGACGTCGAACGCGGGACGAGCGACGAGATCTAGCGACGTGACCTGCAAGGACGGAAAGCGGCGAGCCAGCAGGATGCCAACGAGCCCATGGCCGCATGCGACGTCGAGGACGCGGTCGATGTGCTTCCTGTGCTGCAGAGACAGCAAGAAGTCTCGGACGAACTTGTACATCTCTATGCTCTCTATAATCTCCTTCACCCGGCAGACCTTGGGCTCCAGCAGATGCGCGCGGTCAAACGCCTCCACTGCCTCCTCGAACTCCGGCAGCGAGTCGAAGATGTAGCGGAGGAGCCTGACCCGTAAGGTTCTGCCGAAGGAGCAACAAAAAGTCAACACGAGCTCCCACAGATGTCACAAGGAGCATAACACTCTCACATGTTTAGGTTCTCGATCTTTGTCGATGGTTTGATGCAGGATGCTCGCATAGGAAAGCTCTCGAGCTCGTCCTGATCCCACTCCCCGGCATACGACACAACATCGCTCCACTGCCGCTCCTCTCGGTTCAGAAACTGCGAGATCGCTCCCTGGAATTGAGCATGGCATGCTGTGATTGGGCGTCTGCACCGAGAAGGATGACAAGGGAGATGGAGAGGAGGAGAGGAGAGCTGAAGGGGAGCAGAGGAGGGCTTGAGAGGAGGGGGGAACAATGGGGGACTTTGGAAGCAAGAGACTCGACACCCTGCTGATGTTAACAGACTCTGCAAGAAGAACAGCTGCAGGTGACGAAGAACAGGACCTCCTCTTCTCCCCCGCCATGTTTCTCCAGCATGATCGCTCGCCCCCATCCCTCTTCCTCTCTTTCTCTTCCTCAACGCTGTCGGGCACTCAAGAATGGGGGCCGGCACGTTCGAGGTTGTGGGGATCCGCGGATGATGCCAATATTGGGATTCAGGGGGCTGCACCGGTATATGAAATTCCAGGATTACTGATTACCGCTTTTCATCCTACACGAAAGGGGCACCGTCAGCGGTGAGAAACTGCCCTGTCACGGTGAGTCCGGAGAAACTGCCCTGTCACGGTGAGTTACCGCATTCATCCTACACGAAAGGGGCACCGTCAGCGGTGAGAAACTGCCCTGTCACGGTGAGTCCGGATCGGACTCCCGGGTGACTCAGCTGGTGACTCAGCCGCTGACTCAGCCGGCTCCGGACCCGGCCGGGATGAGTCACTGACCGCACTCCCGGAAATGGCAGGCCCTGAAACGGTCCACCGGGCGGCCCGGCGCCCCCTCTCCCACCCCGGCCGCGGATTGCAAGTTCAGCCTTCCAGTTCCGAAGTTCACGATGTAAGTAGTCACTGCTGCCGCAGTAGTCAGTGCTCTGAGTCTGGCCGCAGCCTGTGTCAGTGCCAACGGTGACCCGGAGGCCCGGCCGCCGCCCCGACCGGGGGCCCGGCCAGATATAAGGGGCAGTTTGTTGGTCGGTTATAAGAGTAACGGCGACCCAAACAAGAGACAGGGAGGCATGCATACAAGGCGCATGTTCAGCAGTCACGAGGGAGGAAGAGGAGGAAGAGGAGGAAGAGGGAGGAGGGAGGAAGGAGCAAGTGAGGAAGGACGAGGAAGAGCAGGAGAAGTAGCCAGCATGCATGGAACGACATGGGGAGACAGCAGTACGACGAGGTCGTTGAGCAGCAAAACTCCGTACAAGGCAACATGCAGGAGATTGGTGGATCGCATGCTATGCGCGAGCAGAGTATGCGCCCTCGCCCTCCTGCTCGCATGTCTGAACGAAGCTTTCTGCTTCACATCATCCCCGCTTGCCGCACAATTCTCAGCTCGCACGCATCACAGGTTTACCTTGGGGCTGAGAACCAAGTTGGAGAGAAAGGGGAGAGTCGGCCAGGTTCCTTCTGCTGCTCCCGGCGTCGGGCCTTTGAGCTTGATGGCCATGGACGGGTTTCACGAGGTGATGAACGGACTGTCGCTGCTCCAAGAGAGCGTTGAGCCTGCGCAACGTCATCTTGGCGACCAGCACGCCAGCAACTTGCTCGCAGACGCGACTGCCTCTGCGGGACCCGCTGGCGTGCAGGGAGTGAAGGACCAGGTGATCCATGCTGGAGCACAAGTGCTGAAGCAGATGGAGGCCCTGCTGTCCGCAGCGAAGGCCTCCTCCTCCAAGTACGTCGGCGGCGTTCAGGTTCCCCTCAAGGGGATAGAGAGCAATTTGCAGAAGCTCATGGCGGAGGTGAAGGCGGACCAGCTCCTCAAGGCCCTGAGAGAGCTCAACGCTGCTCTCCCGAAGCCCGTGCAGCTGGCAGAGCAGGAGCTGTCCTCCTTTGTGTCCATCCTGTACAGCAAGCTTGCCGCTGCTATCCACGAGGTTTCGAGGGACAGTGACAACGATTTGTTCAACGGCTATCCCTTCAACGCCAAGGCCCTTGGCCTCTGGTTCGCCTCTGTTGTCTCCTTCTCCTCCGTGGTGAGGAGAGAGGAGGAGCTTCCTTACCCCGGCAAGACGTACGACCCTGCGGCAGCAGACAGGTACTTCAACAAGCGTTGGGTTCTCAAGTACGGGAGGGCAGTGCAGCTGGCCTATATCCTGGGAGGATGGGGGATCGGGTTGTTGAGAGATCGGTACGAGTATGGGGGGATCGGAGGACGAGGAAACAAGTGGGAGAAGAACATGCCGATGAGAGCCAAGCAGCTCCTGGGCCTGACCCAGCGCTTGGGCACCACAGCTATCAAGATTGGACAGGTATGCCCCCTCCTCCCTCCTCCCTCCTCCCTCCTGCTCCCGCTCCCGCTCCTGGTACCCCTGTCCCATGTATCGCCGTCCTCACCCTCCTCTACCTTGCCTGTTGTTTCCTCCTGACACCTTCCAGGCTCTCTCCATCCGCGGCGACATCCTCCCTGCTCCCTACGTGAAGGAGCTGAGCGAGCTACAGGACCGAGTGAAGCCCTTCCCCAATCACATCGCCATGGAGATCATAGAGGAGGAACTCCGCAGTTCCACAGGAGGCAAGAGCCTGAAGGGCATCTTCCGCACCGTCTCCAGCGCCCCCGTCGCCGCCGCCTCCATCGGGCAGGTGTACAAGGGGGAGCTCATGGACGGGCAGGAGGTTGCGATCAAAGTCCAGCGCCCTGACGTCATCAAGGACATCGCGCTCGACCTCTACGTCTGCAGGACCATCGCCCCCCTCTGGAAGAAGTTCTTCAAGCTCAACAGCGACCTCGTCGGCCTCATCGATGAATGGTGACGACCCTCCCGTCTTGTCCCTGCCCCTCCCTCATCCCCAACTCCCCTTGCATCTCCCGTCTCACTCCACTGCTCCACCACCTCGTCCTACTCTTTCATATTGTTAGGCTCCTGCTCCTGCTCCTGCTGTTCCTGCCCCTGCCCCTGCCCCTGCTCCTGCCCCTGCTCCTGCCCCTGCCCCTGCTTCTGCCCCTGCCCCTGCCCCTGCCCCTGCCCCTGCCCCTGCTCCTGCCCCTGCTCCTGCTCCTGCTCCACTACCACAAACAAGTCGTGTATCGCATCCTCCATCCCCTCCCCTCCTTCCTCCCCGTGACGCTGCGGCAGGGGTGCTGGCTTTGTCAACGAGCTCGACTACGAGCGAGAGGCCGTCAACTCTCAGCGCTTCCTCGCCGCCATGAGGGCCCGGGGCCTCGACGCAGTGACAACGGCTGAAGTTGTGGAGGATCTGTCGACTGAGCGGGTCCTGACGACTCGCTGGGTGGTCGGGGAGAGGCTGGAGAAGAGCTCTGAGGACGACGTGGGAAGACTTTGCGGGGTGGCGCTGAACGCGTACCTGACGATGCTGCTGGACACCGGGCTGCTGCACTGCGACCCGCACCCTGGGAACCTGCTGAGGACGGAGGACGGGAAGCTCTGCATCCTCGACTTTGGGATGTGCATCGAGGTCGAGAAGGACCTGCAGTACGCGTTGATCGAGTACATCGCCCACCTCATGTCCGAGGACTACAAGCAGATCCCTCGCGACCTGATCAAGCTCGGGTTCGTTCCTGCCGGGAAGGAGGCGCTGATCCAGCGAGCTGGGGTGGTGGAGGCGCTCTCGGTGATCTTGCGGCAGCTGGCGATGGGGGGAGGGCCCAAGAAGGTGCAGGAGAGGATGATCAAGCAGATCAGGGAGGAGTTCGGGGACCTGCCGAGGGAGGAGATCAGGGAGAGGATGCGGGCCAAGTTCAAGGAGATGAACGAGCAGGGGCTGGTGACGGAGGAGCGAGTGAACGTGGGGGACGTGGCAAGGAAGATGGAGCAGCTGCAGGAGGACGACAATAACTACTTCCAGATCCCCCCTTGGATGGCCTACATCCTCCGAACCTTCTCCGTCCTCGAGGGTATCGGCCTGCAGCAGGACGAGGACTACTCCATCGCGCAGGAGTGCTACCCCTACCTCGCCAAGAGGCTCTTCTCCGACAGCTCCCCCCGGGCCCAGGAGGCCCTGCGGCAGATGCTCTACGGGGCTCAGGCGGGGCAGGAGGGAGCAGGAGCGCTCAACGTGGCCCGCCTCAAGGAGCTCTCCTCGGGCTTCCAGAGCTACACCGCCAGCACGAGCTCAGTTGAGAAGTCAGCTGGGCTCGACCGGGCCACCGACCAGGTCATAGAGCTCCTCCTCTCCCCGCAGGGCAACTTCGTGCAGCAGGTGCTGCTGGAGGAGCTGGCAGCGATCGTGGACGCGGGAGGCAGGAGCTTGCTCAAGCAGGCGACGCTGAACCCGATCGGGAGCGCGGCGGTGGAGGCACTGAAGCAGCAGAAGGCCCTTGCCCAGCAGCTCCCAGCTCCTCTCCAGAACCTCGTCCGCCCAGTCTTCCTCCCCGCCGAGCTCACCCTCGACGCCATCGAGCTGATCTCGGCGGACGAGGAGGACGAGGCGTCTCTGCAGACGGCGGCGAAGCTCTGGAACTTCCTGCAGTCCTTCTCTTCCCCTCGGCCCTCCTCCCCCGACGCCGACGATCTTGCCGACGTCCCACCTGCCCCTCAGCTCCCCCAGCTCAGCTCTCTGCTGGGTGCCGGGGGGCCGAGGCTCCCGCAGAGTGCGGAGGAGCTGAGGGAGGTGGTTGAGCGGGTGCAGAGGCTGCAGCCCGGCATGCTGTCAGTCGCGACCCGCCTGTCCTCCATCCTGCTCCAGCGCACGGCCTGCCGGCTCGAGGAGCGAGTCGCGCTGCATGGCGGCAGGTTCTCCCCAGTATCCTCCCAGTTTGTCTCCAGCTGCGTCTCGGCCCTCGACAGCCTCGACGCGGCCCTCAACGACTTTGCGGCTGACCGGCTGGCAGCAGCCCCGACCCCAGCTGGAGCCCAGGAGCAGATGACGCCGCTGGCAGTGGCGGCGCTGCCGGGGGACGGAGCAGCCGTACCCAAGTGAGTGATGCGAGGGATGGAGGGGGTGGAGGGGTGGCTCACCAGCTGGGCAGAGAGCCGAGGTGGACGGAGGAAGCCCGGAAGGAGCTGGAGAGAGCGCCGTTCTTCGTGCGGGGGCCGGCGAAGAAGCAGGCGGAAGAGCACGCGAGGAAGATGGGATACAGCGAGATCAGCATGGCGGTGATCGAGGAGTCGAGGAAGGGGATGAGCGACGTGGACGTAGCGAAGAAGATCATCGGAGTGAAGTAGGTGGGTGTAAGAGGGAGTTGGGGGAGAGGTATAAGGGAGGAGGAAGAAGAGAAGGAGGGAGAGGAGGAGGAGGAGGAGGAGGAGGAGGAGGAGGAGGAGTTTGATAAATCATGTCATGCTGAATTCGTTGTCTTGATTTAATTGAGTGATGAGTCGAGGATGAATAACCTATGATACACGTCGGCCGTCGGCCTCACCTTCAGCTCCTCGCTGGGTTCTGTAGCAGCGAGTCCTCCTGCTACAGGGTGAGGAGGAGGAGGGAGGAGGAGGGAGAGGAGCAGGAGGAGGAGGAGGAGGAGAAGTGGAAACAGTAGGATGAGGAGGGAGAAAGAGGGGGATGAGGATGAACAAGGGTCACGGTGGACGGAGGAGAGTACGAGGAAGAAAGCAGGCGGGAGACGGTTTGCGAACAAGTGTACCTGATCGTCTTCGATTTCTCTTCCCTCGTCGTCGATAAGCTTGTCCGTCATTCTCTGCGAAACAAAATTCATCAGACACCCTTCCCCTTCTCCTTCTCCTTCTCCTTCTCCTTCTCCTTCTCTTCTCCTGCTCCTGCTGGTGCTGGTGCTGCTACTCCCCGCAGGCGGCAGGGATCAAGACCAAGGACCCGTGCGACTTCGAGAACCTGAACATGCTCGTGCTCGTGTGCCACTGCTTCCTCCTCCCCTCCTCCCCCCCTCCCCTCCTCCCCTCAGCTCCCCTTCACTGACCTTGTTCGGGATGAGGAGGAAGGTGAGGGGGATGGCGATGAGTGGCAGCAAGCAGTGGCACACGAGCACGAGCATGTTCAGGTTCTCGAAGTCGCACGGGTCCTTGGTCTTGATCCCTGCCGCCTGCGTCGCGTACACTCCGATCTGGCTCGACACGACACCCCCGAAGTTCTGGAAGCCGGCTAGGAGGGCGTACGTGGTGGCCTCCAGGCCCTTGGGCACGAGCTTCGAGGTCAGGACGAGCATCGGCATGAGGCCGAACATGCCGACGACGTTGCCGATCACGGCATCGCCGAACATGTAGAAGGCCTTGTCGCTGATACCCCACGCGATGTTCACTCGCGCTATGATGAGCATGTCGAAGCTGGCAGCTACGATCTGGATCAGCGTCGTCACCCAGAAGAGCGTGCGGAAGTTCCAGTCGCTCATGGTCGCCTGGAAGAGAACGATGCCAATCCATCCAGTCACTGACCCCACCAGAGACGCGTACGTGTTGTAGTAGGTGTAGTCGAACGCCGGGCCTCCGGGGACGCACTTGTCATCAGCGGTGAACCAGAAGTCTTGGGCACCGCTGATGTTGATATAGAGCACGCACGAGATGAACATGTACAGGTTGCACCTTGCCAGCTGCGGGGGGAGCCATCGGAACGCGAGGATACAGAGGATGACGGAGCAGACGACGGCGTACAGAGCCTGCACCTGGTGGTACTGGAAGAGGAGGAGGTCGATGATGGCATTGCCCATGGCCACCGCCGCCATGATCAGGCAGAAGAGGATCATGTACGTGTGCTCCTTGAGCAGCGACCAGTCGATCCCCCGCTTCTCCTCCTCCACCTTCTCGTCCCCGAGGTAGTCCATGACTGTGGGGATAAGGATGCTGGCGGCAAGGGGGATGCAAACCCAGAAGATGATCTGAGGGTCATAGTTGTCGGCGATCGGGCCCACGAAGACGGAGGCGATGAAGCTCCCGAGCTGGAAGCATCCCCACACGAACGACACCATCGTCGACCCGGTCTTGGGCTTCGCCTGCATCCTCTCAGCGTACTTGCCCTCGCACAGGAGGTCGCAGGTGGCGATCTGGAAGTTGGCAAGGAACAGAAAGATCGCTGCCAGCCAGGCCACGTGGATAGGGGTCGACGCGAGCATGAAGAATGCGAAGGTGCCCAGGAACGCGGAGGCGATGATGTAGCTCTTCTTGTGATAGCCGAGCAGAGGGTAAGCGTCCGAGACCACCCCCATAGCTCCCTTGATCGCCCAGGGTGTCATGGCTATGGACATCTACCAGCCCAGTCAGTCTACCAGCCCCTCCTCCTGATCCCCGTTCTCCTTCGTCCTACTCCTCTCATGCCCCCCCATCACCATCCTCTTCCTTCCCTCTCCCTCCTTCTCCTTCCCTCTCCCTGGTCCTTCCTGCATCCTACAAGATCATCACCGACACTGCACTGTCAAACCTACCACTAACACTCCTCCTTCCCTCCTCCCTCCTCCCGTCTCCTCCTCCTCCTCCTCCTCCTCCTCCTCCTCCTTCTTATGTTACTGCTCGTCATGATCGTGCTCATGCTCGTGCCCGTGCTTCTCACCATCGTCTGGCACTGGTTCCCATCGATCTGGAGGGACTTCTTGCAGTAGGAGAGCTTGATTAGGCCCATGATGGAGTTGAGGAGACCTTTGACGAACAGGTACATGACGCCGATCTGTGTGGTGAATTTCCATCCGAAATTGTGCAGCAGAGTGTCTTTGAAACTCTTCAACCCCCTGCCATACCCGAGTCAAACAGCTCCTGATCAGGGGTCGGACTACCTGTAAGGGTGTAGAACGTAGTCTGTTATCGTCGGGTTCTCAGGCAACTTGTACTGGTTGTTGTCATCTGCGAGAGGTCTGAGTCAGCTCAACAGCACGAGGCATCTGCCTCTTCCTCCCTATCTCCTACGAAGCATCATCCCACCCGTGATGATCGTGATCACGAGTCTGATCACGATCAAGTTCACAACAACAACAGCATCAGCACGAATACTTCTTAGCAATTCGTTTCACATAAAGAAATGACAAATCATCCACGAGATGATCAAGTGCAGCTGTTTGATCGCGACTTCACATCAACGTTCAGTCGCAACCTATCGCGAACAAGATGCAAGAATTTAATGCAGAAACCAACAAAAGATCAGAACGACGATCGTAGATAAAAGTATCATCATCAAAGATCATGAGATTGAATGTCTTCATCCTCATCTTCTCCCCTCCTCCTCCTCCTCCTCACCATCGAGGGCGTCATAATCACTCGGATCCGCCATCTAAAACCGGCGAATCGATAACCCACCCCCTACCCCAGCTTTTAAACCCCACCATTCAAAATTGGCAAATACCCCTATTTTTTCAAGTATAAAGATGGTAGTCACAATACCCCCACCCAGGTATTTTCACTACCCTACCCACTTACAAATCCAAGCCCGCCCTCCATGGTGCAATGACTCATCGGGAAGGTATGGTGTGGGGATGAGGGGAGATGCCAAGATGCGAATGAGGGGGATGAGTGAGAAATGAGGGGATGAGTGAGAAATGAGGGGGATGAGTGAGAAATGAGGGGGATGAGTGAGAAATGAGGGGGATGAGTGACAGATCTTGTAGTACGAGAAAAGTTTGGGTCACACCCACACCCCCTACCCCCTCCCAACCACCACCCACCCGTCTTTCGACTGACACAGGGAGACATTGAACCCCCCCGTTCAACATGACCCTACCTACAATTACAGAATACCCACCCTACTCGAAAAAAGAATTTTACACCCCTACCCCACCTTTTCCCTTGTACTACCCCCTGAAGTCTAGTACCCAACCCAGGGAACCTAGGGTGACATTTATATCCACCACCCCCTTGGAGCTACTACCCCCTTCAAACCAGGAAAAGTACCCGGTAATCATAATTCCAATGTCTCCCTTAGGCCGCCTGGAGATGGGTAGTGAACGGAGAGAGTGGAGGGAGAGGGAGAAGGAGAGAGAAGGAGAGGAGGAAGGAAGAGAAGCAAAGGCAGGAACGATGAGGAGGAGAAGGAAGACATGAAACGGATAGGAAAGGTTTGCTGCTGAACTGGATGTAAATCAAAGTCAAGCAAGGATGGTCGCTCGGTGGGAAGTGAATGAGTGAGAGAGGGAGATTGATGGGGTTGTGAGCACGAGTGAAGTCTGACACATGATTCACGACGAGAAAGATGAAAGTTGTCGTGAAGGTTGAGAGGTTGCATAGAGGAGTGTCCTCGTGGAATAGATGAGGGATTCGGCCGTAGGACAAACCTGCACCTGTCCCGTGACTCTGGGGATGACTCTGGGATGATGCAGCAGGATGAGATAGAAGAGGAGATGAGAGGCATTCTGTTGCTTTCATATCAGTGTTGATATGCACTGAGATCTCAAAATGCACTCATGATACGTTCTTGACGAGACGCTCTAAACACCAACATGTCTTCCGATCACCAACATGCCGCGTGACTCCGCTCATGTTTTCTCTGCAGGTCTCGTCACAGTGGACCAGAAGATGCCTCCTATCAGGTTGGTGGCTAGCTTGTGCTTGGTAGGCATGGTGTCATGCTTCCACCCTCTCCCCTCCTTCACGGGTATGCCGCGCAAGGGTGTGGCTGCAGTAAGCAGCAGGAGCGGCTCCATGAGAGCAGCTCAGTTGGAGAGGAGGAGGAGCATCGCGATGGCGGTGACGACGGAGAAGGAGGAGAAGCCTTCGGTTGAAGACTTGTCGAAGCTGAGCCTGGGAGCGGCGCAGATGCTTTACGAGCTCGAGGAGATGAGGACCAAGGATATCTTGAAGGCGTACAATGAGGGCAAGATCGGAAAGAGGGAGGCCAGCACGCTGACGCTGAAGAGGGTGGGGACGAAGCTCGGGCTGGGGAAGGCGAAGGAGGAGGAGGAGGGGAAGCAGGGAGCGTTCATGGAGGGAGGATGGGTCAAGAGGGGGAGAGGGTCCTCCATCACGAGGACGATCGAGCTCTACTCCTTTGGTATCAAGATCATTCTCCGCGAGCTCAAGCTGCGAAAGGTGGAGGATAAGGCGGAGAAGTCGGCTGCCCGCAAGCTGATCGCCAAGGACCTGCGGGCTGGTCTGCTCGAGCTGGGGCCCACCTTCATCAAGCTCGGCCAGCTGCTGTCCACCAGGATCGACATCCTGACCAAGGAGTACATCGACGAGCTCAAGCTCCTGCAGGACAACGTGCCTGGCTTCTCCGGAGACAAGGCGGTAAGATGATACAGCTCCTATCTCCCTTCCTCCTTCCTCTTCCTCTTCCCACCTCCAGTCCCCCCTCCTCCTCCCTCTCCTTTCTCCGCCCTCCTCATCCTCCCTCCTCCAACTACCACTACCACCTTCCCTTCCTTCCTCCTCCTCCTTCCACCTTGTGTCTCTCCCTCACCTCTCACCACCATCTTCTTCATCTGCTCTCCTCGTCTTCTCTGAGCTGGGGAGCAGGTGGAGGTGATCGAGCGCGAGCTCAAGAAGCCGATCTCCGAGGTCTTCTCCTCCTTCGACAAGCAGCCCATCGCCGCTGCCTCCCTCGGACAGGTTTGCAACCCCCACCCGAGACATCACCAGCTCGGTTTCAGCTGGGCAGGGAGCTGAGGGCGGTGCAGGTTCACAAGGCTGTGCTCAAGTCCAACGGGAAGGAGGTTGCGGTCAAGGTACAGCGGACGGGTGAGATACGAAAACCACTCCTCCTCCCTCCCTCCTCCCTCCCTCCCCTCCTCCCTCCCTCCTCCCTCCTCCCCTCTCTCCCTCCTTCTCCCTCCCTCCCTCCCTCCCTCCCTCCCTCCTCCCTCCTCCCTCCTCGCTCTTCCTCCTCTTCATCTCCTCCTGCCCTCCCTCTTCCCTCCTCTCTCTTCCTCCTCCTCCCTCTCTTCGTCATCTTCATCTCCTCCTTCCCCCTCTTCCTGCTCACGTGTCTGTCACAGGGCTGGATGATCTCTTCAAGAATGATCTCCAGAACTTGAAGTTTGCAGCCAAGGTCCTCCTGCTCCTGCTCCCGCTCCTGCTCCTTCTCCTGCTCCTGCTCCTGCTCCTGCTCCTGCTCCTGCTCCTTCTCCTCGTACTGCTCCTGCTCCTTCTGCTGCTGCCCCTGCCCCTTCTCCCTGCCCCTGCCCCTGCTTCTTGCTTCTCCTTTTCTGCATCTTCTTGACTTGCCCGCAGGTCTTTGACAAGCTTGACCCCAAGAGTGACGGAGCAGATCGTGACTGGGTGTCAATCTACGAGGTAAGAGGAGGGAGATAGAGAGCAGAGGAGAGCAGAGAAGAGGAGGATGTTTTTCTGATCTCTTTTTTGCAGGAGTCAGCAAAGCTCCTTTACCAAGAGATCGATTATCAGGTTTAGATACCTCCCAAGTCCTGATTTCCTTCCTACTCCTGCTCCTCCTCCTGCTCCTTACTCCTGCTCCTTACTCCTCCTCCTCCTCCTCCTCCTCCTTCTTACTCCTCCTCCTTACTCCTCCTTCTTACTCCTCCTCCTCCTCTCACTTTCTCTTCCAGAACGAAGCCAAGAATGCGATTCGCTTCCGCAAGCAGTTCGAGGTCAGAGTTTGTTCTCGCCTGCCTCTGCCACCTGATCCTCTTCCAGGGCATCGAGTGGATTAAAGTCCCAGAGGTCTTCAGGTAGAAACCAAACCCCTGCTTCTCCTCCTTAGTTGCTCCTGCTCCTGCCTCTGCCCCTGCTCCTGCTC